TTGCATCCAAATCTTGCTCAGCCAAATCCCAAACTTTCATAAGCTCTCATGGCTCTCAATCATCGCAGCCGTCATGTCCTTTGCCTATTCTTCCATAGGCCTTGGCCTCTCCGTCGCCAAAGTTATAGGTAATTCATACCCAAACAAAAAAAAACATTTAAATTACAACGTAAATTATTGAGATGATGATTTTGTATAGGTTCCAAAGAACTTTGTCTATCTGGTTTCAATAATTTGTGGCTAATATAGAAGGTATGCTGATGGATTGATAAATTATTTTATGGACAATGAAGGTGGACCACATGCAAGGACAACCTTAACTGGAGCAACAGTTGGGATAGATGTGTCAGCCTCGGAGAAAGTTTGGAAAACATTCCAAGCCATTGGAGACATTGCCTTTGCTTATGCTTATTCTACCGTGCTTGTGGAAATACAGGCAACTCTCTTACCTATGTATTTACCTTAATCTTCTTATTAATATCTTAAGCTATGTCTATATATGTACGCCACACAAACATAAATATCATAACATCATATGGGACGGGAAAAGAGTCACATGATAATATATTATATTCACGAATTCTAACATAAGTAAACGAGATGGTTGGTATCTCACACTTTTAAGAATATTCATTTATATTATAATATGTAAATAATTTATACCGCAGGACTGTATCATTAATAATATTATAAGTCACATCAATTTTCATATTATGTGATGTGTGTCCATGTGTTCAAAATGTGTGTGTATAGCCTCCGTAATATAAAAAGAAAACTTACTTTATGTAACTTTTAAAAGGCCATTAGCCCCTATCTTCTTCTTCTTCTTCTTCTTCTTTTCAGATTGAATAAAACCCTATATTTTAGAAAAAGGGAAGAAAAAATAATTGAAACCCATTAGACCTGGCTACTCAAGGCCTCATAAAACTCATCCTGCCTAGGCATTTGCTTGTGTTGCCTAAAGGGCAAAGCAAACAAACAAAACAATACAAACACGCGGCTTGCTAGGGCGTATGTATGTGTTTTCTTTATGGGAGGGGTTCACATGCATGCAGCATGCTTATTTTGTCTTCAACATAAAATCTGAACATAATATTTTGGCTCCATATCCAAACCTGCCGCAACTTTGATGTGTGTGCCTTATTAAATGTTATACAAATTTATAAATAAACCCAATCCTAGACATGTATTTATAAAAAAACCCAAGCACTATTTAAACATAGAAACACACCCAAAATCAACCTCAAAATCAACAATTGTATGTTTTTTGGGTGTGTTTGTAAATGAGTTTTGAGTGTGTGTAATGATGGGTTTTGGGTGTGTTTATAAAGTGTTTTGGGTGTTGGGTTTTTTTATAATTTCAACCCCCATTTTGGGTGTTTTAGTGAAACTCCCTAAATGTTAAATGTCGGTATGACTAGCTTGCTAGTTTTCAAAGCAATAGGGTGTCGCATATTATAGAGCTTATATAAAAAAAAATATAAACGAACAAATTATCGCACCACAAAACAAAGGGGTAGGTTTTAAAATCTTTAATTTGTTAGATTTCATGAGAGTTCATAAAATAATGTGTTCACATAGACGTATTGAAAGTTCATCTAAGAAAATAAGAAACTTACTTGTGTTGAACTTAGAAGGATCATGATAGGATCAATGTATGAGTCAAGAAATAGGTCGAAATTTCATACCATGATTTCAACCTCATCTCAACTCATATCTTGACTCGATTATGATACGGTCTTACCTAATTCAAAGCATATTAGTTTTTGAATTTTTTACCTTAGTTTACCTAGTAAAAAAAATGTGGATGTGGATGCCCATGTTCTTATACTGTCGTGATAAGAACCTAAAAAAGCGAAGAAGTGATTGGGAAGGGAAGTGGTCCGAAAGAAATCGACTCTTCCATTATAACAAAAAGACAAATATAGTAAAAGTTTCACAAAATTTTGTTTTCAAATCACGAAAAGGGAATATATTGTCAAAGCTTGCATTCTAGTATAAAAAAATAAAGATAAAAATTAATTTAACAAATCCCATTAGGTTTTTTTCCCTTTAATTTCGATTGAGAAGTGAAAGTATGTTTGAAGTGTTTATTTTTCATTTCATTTGTTTTATATATATATATATATATATATATGTCACATAGGTTTTTAATTATACTACTTTACGGAACAGCCCGCTTTAGAAAGATTCTTAGAGGACCATCAAAGGTGGACGCAAAAGCAAAATTTGGGCCACCGAATAAGTTGGCCTTTTAAAAAAACAATTCTGTCTACTTTTCTTGTCGTCCATCCTTTTTCTCTTATCATGCAACTCTTGGTAGGTCATTGTCAGATCTTTCTTCTATGAATAATCTCAAAGTTGTCCCTTTATCAGTCAGGAATTCGGCATCTTAAAGCTGGACATGAATTCTAAACCATAAAAAATATATATATATATATATATTTTAAAAAGAGATTGAACATCATGTCTTCTTTTTGTTTTGTTTGCTTCTTTTCTGTTTTTATTTGATTGGTTTTGGTATGATAGGAATGCTTTCGTGGAGAACGGGTCATATTTTATAAAACATTATAATGAACATATACTAGTAGGGTATAGCTTAGGTAAGTTGAGCTTTTCCTTTTTTATTCACGTATGCTGAGGTTCGAAAGCCTCGCATCCAAATATTCGGTTCTACTAAAGAAAAATTTTGTGAGAGTTGTTGATATGTGCTCATTGTATTAACTACGACTTAATAGAAATCACTGCTTCTAGGAATTAAGATAAGCCATAATTAACTAGGACTAGTAATTGCAGGACACATTGAAATCACCCCCGGCAGAGAACAAAGCCATGAAGAGGGCAACTAGTATCGGCATTGCAACCACCACAGTGTTCTATGTCCTTTGTGGTTGTGTTGGCTATGCAGCATTTGGGAACGACGCACCTGGAAATTTCCTCACCGGTTTCGGATTCTATGAACCCTTTTGGTTAGTTGATCTTGCCAACATCTGCATCGCCATTCACCTCATTGGGGCCTACCAGGTAATTTAGCCTTCATTTTATTATAAATTTGACATATTGTGTACCATTTCACTAAAAGAAGCCGCATATTATAAAGTAACGCTAAATAGTACAAATAACATATTTTTTTTATACTGATACGAGCAATGCATGATGATTGGTGATCAGGTCTTCTGCCAGCCCATATTCGGGTTTGTCGAAAGCCAGTGCGCCAAACGCTGGCCCGAAAGCAAGTTCATAAACAGCGAGCACGCCGTGAACCTTCCGTTTCATGGGGCATACTGTTTCAACTCCTTCAGATTGGTGTGGAGGACTGCATATGTGGTGATGACAGCAGTCTTAGCCATGTTGTTCCCCTTCTTTAACGACTTCTTGGGTTTACTTGGAGCAGCCTCCTTCTGGCCATTGACAGTCTACTTCCCAATAGAGATGTACATTGCAAGGACTAAAATGCCCAGGTTCTCCTTCACATGGACTTGGATGAAGATTTTGAGCTGGGCGTGCTTGGTAATATCGCTTGTTTCAGCTGCTGCAGCAATTCAAGGTCTGGCAACAGATGTCAAGAAGTACAAGCCCTTCCAAACTGAGCAATAGTAGTGCCTTACTATATATAGCTTTTAATATAGGGTTTGTGTAGCGTGTGATTAGTTAACTTATTTCCCAAAAACCTTAGTCTTCTTAAGTGTGTATTTTTAAGTTCCTCCTAAAGTTTGAAGCTATCAAACTGGGTCAAGGTTACAATGTAATTTCTCAACAAACGAAAAAGGAAAGGAATAAGAAGAAAATAAAAATCCAAAAGAAAGTGGAAGAGAGAAATACTACAAAATAAAAATCCATGAATATATCAATTGTGCACCAAGAATTAATTAAGCACAAAGTTTCTAAGACAAGTCTGTCAAATATGAACAAACACATATGACCAATAAAGGAGTATACCTTATTAGTCAGACACATCCCAAAATGCCATTTATATACCAACAGGTTACTCAGGTATAATGAACAAACAATACAGCTTAGTGTAATAAGCGATAACCCACGCTCAACTTACATGTTTACTTACCACGAATGAAGGAAGCTATGAATCGAGGAACTTAGTAATAGGGGAATTAAGGAATTGGAACCAAATCAATTACTCTCTCTAGTTTATCCCGTTCTCAATTTTGAGGGTATGATTATGAATTTTGAAGTGGAATTCACGTAATTTTTATTTTATTTTTATGTGTTAAGTAAATGTAAGGAAAGTCAAGATTTGGAATCATTCCAATAGTCAATCCTGATAAGTAAACATGTATCATGTCCATATACAATAACATAATCATGATCTGAAATTTTAAATAAACCACCTCTTTGTATAAATAAACCAACAACCTTGTGCATATCCAACAATTTTAACACAAGAAAATAAATAAATTAGCAAAACATGAAAACAAACTCAAAACTCCCACTAATTCTCAATCAAGATTGCTGATTACCTTCAAAAAGATGGTTCATAGTTGTGGATGAAAGTTCTCATGAAACTAGACATCGATGTCATTAAGATAAATGTAGATAAAGCTTGGCTTCATGAGGAAAAGATGGGTGGTTACAAAAGTTTGTTTTGAGAGTGATCTATCAGTGGCTTTGGTTCCTTATCATTGCTTCCGACCTGGACATTCACTTCAAGACACAATAACGATGTTTGCCAAACCGTATTCAAAGGGATTGTTCATATTCAAGCATGTACTAGAAAATAAATAGCAAAAGCTTCTTTGTGCGACAAATGAATGGAAGACCAAGTTGTGATGGGTTTTGAATTTTTTTTTCTTTCCTTCTGAAAAAATGGTGGGGAGGGGGGGGATATAAAAGTTTCACACATGCACAGATACACAAAACAGGTTAGAATGTGATATTAGAACTTCCGCGCAATTTACTACAACCTCATTGTCCCATATTGGTATATGGAAGACAATGTTTTCTTAAACTTTCATGGGCACCAAGAGGGATCCTTCTAACATAAATCAAGAAGAGTCGGTCTCACTCATCACAAATGCTTGAATAAGACTCTGCGCAGCATGTGTTTGTTCAGGTGTTCCAGATATTATGATCACAGTTTCAAGTGCTCCGGGCTTAGGCTCCGTGATGGTAACTTTTGCATCCGAAATCTGGAACAGCGTTGGTCATGTTAGAAGTGATAATGCTATGTCAAGGCATGTTGTTACTAACAGAAATTGTAGAAACATTGAACATAATCAAATTATATGTTTTATATACACACACTTCCAACAAAATTATGAATTTGATTTTATCAAGCAAGCAAAACCAACACACACATGTTCTTTCTTTGGTAGCCTTCGTAGAACACGATATTCTCTTTTAAGCAAACTAACTAGGAACCAACAAAATATGAGCTCTATCCATATCACACCTTTAAATACTTTCAATGAACCCCGCTGAAAAATGCAATGGCGCCCAAACAAAGGCAAAAGATGAAAATATATGAACAGATGCAAATAGAGAGAAAGAGAGAAAGAGAGAATTGGGAACAGGTACCAAAGATAGTATTTTTTTTTTTTTTAAAAAAAAAAAAAATGGCAAATTGTAAAACAGCTCAATTTATTTCTTTTTCCTCTGATGCATTAGACAGCTCCTATAAACAACTGGGTGAAAATGATCATAGCAGCTCCAGGCCTAAGCATAACTGGACTGCAATGACACCTCAAGCAGAGGTATTAACTTGTATGAACTTGCATTATTAAAGAAAAAAAATTACTAATAAACAAAAGGTTATGGAGACATTTCATTAGAGTTTACTTAAGTCATTTGGAATTTCAAATTTTATTTAAATATTGGTAATTTGTATTACATTAGATTTGAGAGTTTGATTCTTATTACTATTATGGTTTCCCAACTTTTTTTTTTGGATTTGGATGCTCTATCGTATAAATAGGCCTTAATGTAACATAGGAATGAAACTCGAACATACTAATTTGAGTTTATTGAAACCCTGGCCTCCCCTTTTCTATTTTATCTCGTCCCTTTTTCTTTCTCAAAGTCACTTCCCTTGTTTCTCCATTTCTCTATCTATTCTATGCCACCCTCTTGGTTCTACATCAGCTACACTATCATGACAATTAATTTCTTCATGCCCATTCTAGATAGACTATGAACCCAAAGCATTCCCCACTAACATGATGAAAAGGCAATTTTTATGGAATTAGGAGAAATGGTGAAGGACGATTATGAGCTAACTTCAATCAGCTGGGCGCAAAACTTAGCCAAGCAGACATACACTACCACATGCTTACAGGATTCATAGCCATTAACTTTATTTTATAACTAAAAAGCAAAGCATGCTCATTTTTATCATTCCATTTCGAAGTATCCCCACAGCCCCTTATTTAATATATGTTATTCTCCATGGTTCTTTTATGTCAAAGTCGTAACATCAAGAGTGTACCTGACGTATTTGCTTCAAGCATTCACCATCTTCTCCATTTATTACAGGAACAAGGGAACTAGGGACAACAACTTCAACAGTGGTGTTGGTTATTATAGCTGGCTGGCTTCCTCCAAATCCTGGAATTCTTCTTTGTGGAGCAAAGTTCGGCAAGCCTAGTGGACCACCACCCTCAAGATGTCCCTGTGGATCAGTTCAGGATAGAAAAGTAAATCAGCAACATAAATCAACTGTCCTTTTCTGTTTTTTCTTCTCTTTAGTACATAGGGGTTGTTGTGCAATTTGCTTCTTCAATATCAGTTTTCTTATATTCATACTATGCAAAATTTGCTTCGCCCATTTCAAATTATCATACAGTTCACATCATTTTGTCACACATAATTAACATGGTCATCTCAAAAAACAACAAACATATGATGCAAAACTTTGAAGCAACAGAGAATTTTCAACAAAAATTTAAAAATGTGGGAAAAGATAAATAACTGTAGAGTAAAAAGGCCATACAACAACTAAATACCTGAGGACCCCAAGGTCTTCTTTCAGATAAATGCGGGGGCCCACCTAATCTATGAATATTGTGCATAAAAGGAGCACGATCATCATGGGGATGAAAAACACCATGTGGAGGAGGGCCACCAACAGCATCAAACTTGTGAAATGGCATGCCTAAATTAGAATGCATTCCTGGAGGTGAGAAGTCCCTCCTCATATATGATTGAAATGGAGGTTGATCCAAATACGCGGGATTTGGAGGATAATTTATAGAAGGAAATGCATCACGGAAATAGTGATGCCGCAACCTAGTGGTGATCTGGAGAAGAGCATCTTTAACGGCTTCGAATTCTCCATTTATCTGTCAGAAAAGGAACATTGCAGCAACAAGCACAGTGAGTAAAAATGTTAAGATTGCTAAATATGGCACAACGAAGAACATTTACATACAAGCAAAGATAGTACAACCAACTGGCATATTACTAGAAACATGAAAAAATCCACATAAAGTTCACCATAATTAAACCCAGAACACGAAAGCAGCAACTTCACATAATGATACCCCCAGATAGAGATATGTCCAACCTCTTGAAACTCAAAGAACCACGCATGGACTAAGGAAAACGCACCTGAACAAGTTCTTCATCATCTGGAGCACATTTTGGAATTTGATCCTTCCCCATTATACGGATATGAGCCCGAGATAACTTTCTCATTTCAGCAATGATGGCACCACCCTTGCCAAGGAGACAACCAATTTGATTAGAGGAAACAAGAAGCCTCGCCATCATGGATTGTTCCTTGCTATTAGGTGCAGCCCTGAATATTCTACTCTGGACACGAAGAACGGCATCTTGGACAGGTGATATCCTATCATCTGGGTGCTGCAATAGTTAACTTGTTAAACAGCTTATCTTGTGTTTGTGAGTACGTGTGTGTCTTTTTATGTCTTTGTGTGTACAAACAGCTCATGTGTCCAAGAAGAAGAAAATGTTAAAACCATACCGCAGGACCAGATACAATAATAAGACGGTCCTCTGAGTCAGGCACGCCTTCCATAACTTTGATTTCACAGCCTGTTTCTTGCTTAAGTGTCTTTATTATGGATCCTCCTTTTCCAATTACACCTCCTACTCTCTCTTCATGGCACAATAAGCGGAAAGTTAGGACTTCCTGTGAAGGCTTCATCCTACCACTTCCATGGAATTTGGGTATTAGTGGATGAGCAGCAGGATGTGAATCTGCAACGTCGCCAAGCTGATCACTATATGGTGCTCCTTGAGAACGGTTGGGTGGGGGATATACTTCTGGTCTAGGAAGAGATTGACCAATTGAATGAGATGATGGCCCTGAAGTGTTGGACAGGGAAGAGTCACTATCGCGAGGTAGATTCTCCAAAAGCTGCTGAGAAACAGATTCAAGAGCTTTCCTAACTGCATCAACGTCCCCTGTAATCTGCAGCAGAATTATGATATATGATGTCCGTACAGAACTTTATGCGTCAAAATCATCAACATAAGAAACATGAACCAAATCCTACAGTGATGCACAATTATTGCCAAGCTCCAAGACAGCATTTTTCAATATTTCTTTTTTAGTTGTTCCCTTAGGTGTTCCAAAGCCACTAGGCATTGACAGTAAAACAATGACACCCAATGCTAAAATATTTCATCTGCAATGTTTAATTGCTTAAGAATTTTGACAGCCATGATGATTATATCAAATGCCCAGTAGCAGAAACCCACTAGTTATTCATATCATCACTGAAAGATGAGCTATTTTCATGGGTATGGATGACAGTATAATAACAATAGTGTCATTCAACGTTACCTGAACTAGTTCATCGGAAGCTGTTGCACATAATGGAAGTTTATCTCTAGGAAGGATCCGGATTTGTGCCCCACTTTCAGATGACATTTGTTTGACTACACTACCACCCTTTCCCAAAAGGCATCCCACTTGAGTCGAAAGGACTAGTAATCTACAAACAAATGTCAAAGACTTTTCACCTTGTTCATCCCCTCCATCAGTCTCTGTTTCCCCTTCAATTATTCTCTCAAACACAAGTTGCAGAGCTTTCTGCACAGATGGAGTTAAGTTGTCAGATTTTGAATCTTCATTAGGAACAGATTCCTTATTTTCATCATTCTCTTTTGAGTCCTTAGTATCATCATGCTTTTCATCCACATTTTCCCCTTCAACGTCATCCTCCTTGCTATGCTCAGTATCAACATCATTCTCTCTATCAGAACCCACAATAATAACTCTTTCGTCACATCCGGGGACAGTTTCCTCAACTCTGACCTTTACAAGAGTCTCTTGACAAATTTGTGATATAAAAGAGCCACCATCCCCAGTGATACTATCAAGTTTGGACACAGGGCACAGTACCCTGAAAACAGCATTGCCAGAGAGAGAGTTTAGAAGGTTGATTTTCAGACTTTTGCAGCTTCCCTTTCCCATTTGGCTCTATAGGGTTCTCATCATGTGGTCTCTTTGAAGGCGTTAATGGAGCTGACATTTCTACCCTAAATTATGGCAGTACCTGTTTTTCACTTTTTATTTTTCCAACAAAATAAAAAAAAAAAAAAAAAAAAAAAAAAAAAAAAATCATATATTGCAGTCACTATGTAAAGCAGTAACTATCAGAAATCCAAACAAAAGGAAATTCTACAATGGAAACTTTGAATGTTAAAGAAGTAGAGCTCTAAGATGTGTCCCAGTTATTACATTGCTAATGGGCGATGCCCAAGAACACTGTAAACCTACATTAACTTATCCAGTTGCAAACACTTTACCAACAAAAGATACAAAGCTAGCAGACACTACATAAACCCTAAAATTCCTGTTTGGCAGCTGGGAAAATGTAGATAATATAAAGTACACAAATTTGCCCCAAATTGCAAACACTTGAGCTCTGACCCAAATTGCAGAGAAATTGAGTTTTGCCCCAAATACATGGATTTGTGTTTTCTTTCATTGAAAAAAGAAGCAAAAGAGAGAAGAAAACATGAGCGGCCAATTAAGAAAGTGAAGCACTCACCCAGTTGTGGAAGATTCGAAAGAAGCAGAGTTTCAGTTTGGGTTGAAACAGCACCTGTTCAACTCAGGGGACATTGTTTGCTTCTTCTACCAAAGAAGGGAGTGTTTTGCTTTTGGGAAGCCGAAAATTCGAAATCCCTAATGAAGCGAACCTGATTGGTTTTTTTCCTTCGGTTAAGGAACACCCGGTCCAGTAGAATTCTTGTTGTTGAGTGTTACCCTGAAAGCCCAACATAAGCAAAAGCTTCGGCCTTATAGCTTGCCCAAATATTTCAAGGAACTGTTAACCTAATACTCCTACTTGTTTTTTTTTTAATGGACGAGAGGGAGGAGATTTGAATTTTGTATCTCTTCTAAATTCCAAGAGAAAAATATGAGTAGATTATAAGTTAGTTTTTCTATTCTCATACTTCTTTAAATCAGTAATATGATTTGATAAAACAATCATTGTAGACCCATGACCCTCGTAAAATTGGTTACCTAAAGTAAATACATATACCTGAAAAAATTATCATTGTAGACCCATCAGGATAAGAGTACTAATTAGGCCATCCTTCTAATGTATCATAGAAAGTCATGTCTTATCAAGATAAAGGTATTTTCGGACAACCGTCTTGTTTTCAATTAAATTAACCGCTTAAGATAACATGTTCATTCGTGAAGAAATTTTATCACCGTTAAGATAACATGTTCAAAAGACATTCTACGTTTTCCTCAAATGTGAAGGAAATATGAAACGCCATTTCTCCTATATGAGAATATATATGGCAAGCTGGAACATAGTTTTTAATTTTTTTAAAAAAATATTTGTATTTTAATAAAGGCTATTGCTTTACATATTTGTATCTTGAAAATGAAGTACGGCATGTCCCCTCGTGGTCGGTTTCCTAGTGCCACAAGAGACTTCCAAAAAGCCAATCCATTTCCCAACGGCCGAAGGATTTCCTAGCGCCACAAGGATTGTGTGCTGCACTATAAAATGGTCCAACGAATCTCGTCAAAATCAAAATTCCAACGCATTCTCATATTCTCTCTCTCTCCATTTAATTTATTTTCTTTGGGCCGAAGCAAACAGAAACACAAGCCGCAAACCCAAACCGCCTTCGAGGGTCATTTAGGTAATTTCAGGCTCCCCCAAATTCCACGCATAAAAGCTTTTCGCCGACGTACAAACCCCTGATTCTACGAGTTTTCTTGACTTCTGTGAGTCATTTCGATTTCGATCAAGCTCGAAGTTCTAGAATCCATGGCTGCCAACGTCGCAACACAGAAGAAGCTCGTCCAATCGGTCACCGTTAGGGTTCCGACCCAGACGCATTCTTCGTCGTCGTCTTCTTCAGCGAGCCGTAGAAGCGTCTGCAGTCGCGGGTCGGGTTGTTGCTCTGTGCGCAATCGGATCCACTACCCGTCCAATTTCAAGCGGAGCGCGGCTCCGGCTCGGGTCATGTTCTTCCAGAACGGGTCCTGGAACGACTTGCCGGATCACGTCATTGAAATTCTGCGTTCGGGTTTCGTGGAGCGCAAGGCGGTGGTTAGCGTTGAAATTGAGGGGTCAACTTTCTTGTTTGACTTCATGCGGATGTTGCAGATTGATTCGGGCACTGGAGCTCAGAGATCGATTGCTTGGATTGACGAAAACGGCAAGTGTTTTTTCCCCGTGGCGTTTGTTTGCGAGGATTTGAAGGACGGGTCGGATAGTCTGGATAGTCCGAAGAGAAGTATCGATAATCGGGTTGTCGTCCCGGGTCGGGTTTTGGGTAAGAGAAAGACAGATGAGGTCGATGAAGACGAAGTGACCTCGTCGATACGGCAGCGTATTGTGGACAAGAGTTCACCGTGGCCAAATATGAAGTTGTTGAAAGAAGGAGAAAAGCCTTACGCTGTTGGGAGCCAGGTGTTTCTCTCAGGGATGAGAAGGGTTGATCCAGCGGCTGCTGTGACTTCAATTCATCAGTGTGTTCGAACTGGGCCGTTGGATAGGGCCCGCTACGAGGTCTTTCAAAAGCAAGTTGAGATGACCAAGGTGGCTCGGGGCGTTGCCAATGTGGTTCATGCTTGGTACGGCGCTTCGGCTAGCGAAATAAGAGGCATTTTGACACATGGTTTTGGCGGGCCTAGCAAGGTTTCTGGGCCTCAGTCTCGTGGTGTTGGTCTTCACCTGTCACATTTATCAGCACCTCACCTAAGGTAATTATGTGTCTCATCTGGGTTTTTGATGTTGATATTTTGATGGATGAAATTTGTGTCCATGTAAGTGAATATGTGCTTAATACGTTTTTTCCAATTATTGATGTTTTAATGGGTTGAATTGTGTAGTGCTGGGCGGTCGGAGCCGGATGATAATGGCGAAAAACATATTATTTTGTGCCGGGTTATATTAGGCAATGTTGAAAAAGTTGAGGCAGGGTCTCAACAATGCCACCCTTCTAGTGCAGAATTCGATACGGGTGTAGATGATCTTAGGAATCCTAAGTGGTATGTGGTATGGTCCACCAATATGAATAGACATGTTCTTCCTGATTGTGTTGTGAGCTACAGATCATCTGTTCGTGTGCCAGGTATGTATGATTCCTTTTTTGTTTGTTTTAATTTTAATTTGTTATTTTCCTTTCATTTATGGGAACTGGTTTTGTGTTGTGGATCTTTCAGCTCAAATGGGAAGACTTTGCTCTATTGACGCATTGGTTTCGAGGGTTCAGAAATACCTTACTCCTTCTAAAGTTGAGGAACTGTCCTCTCTGGTGTGCGATTTGAAGGCAAGTAACCTTCTTTTCACTGGTTGAAAATTATTCATATTGTCTATTCCTCTGAAGATATGGACAAGAAAACTTCATCTAAGGGTCAATTGTTTTTGGCACCTTGATGCAGGTTGGAAAGCTTGCAAAAAGTGATTTCGTAAAACAGTTTCGATCAGTTACTGGGGACCAATTGAAGCCATCTGTTATTCGGGAGTTGCGTGGCTAGAAGCAAGGTTCTTCTTAGATTTCGTATAGAAATGTGTTGTCATGGTCTATACAATTGATAGAACCATGTATGATCTTTCCTTAGAAATCATATTAGGATTAGGATGAAAATGTTCAACCATACAAAAGATCGTGTAGTTTTTTTTTTGGGTTCACCTTATCATATGCGTAGCAAATATGCTTCCAGTTTAGTCATAACAAAAAAGAGCGTTGTTCATTGTTTGTTAATAATGAAGTTCCGGGTATGTAATTGAACTAAGGGTGTTCCTACATCTTTTGTACCTAGTAGCTACACCTTTAGCTATGAACTGGCATCTGAGGTTGAGATTGGTTTTGCTATATCCAAAAGGTTGTATGGAATTTTAAACATTCTCGAGTATGAGACTTGATGCTCCTGTGTTTGTGGATGCTTGTGCTCATGTGCATGTATTGATGCTCCTGTGTTTGTGGATGCTTGTGCTCATGTGCATGTATTTGTGCGGTGAGCGTTGTCTGAACTGAGGACATTGCAAAAAAAAAATGTTTAAGTTAATTCAAATTGTCATCTTCCTGTGAAATTCCTTTTCATTGAAGTGGATAAGGTTAATAATTTAAAGAGGCTTGTGTGTGTGTGTGTGTGTGACCGCGCACCACATGCGTTCTAAATTGTAACCACTGGGTGTTAAAGAATTTCAGGAACATGTGTTCTATAACTACTACAAAGTATATTATTAAAAGAGTTGGACCATGGACTTTTATGTCGACATCAATTTTACACGGGTCACTATTTACAGCTCTTGTTGCTTCTGTATTAGAATCCATTTGTTTGGGTATTAAATTTGCACATACTGAGTTGGAGTGGATTCGAGACTTTGATTAAGAGGATATGGGATTAATTGGAATCTGATACAGGTTTGAAAGTAATGTTCAAGTAACTCATAAACCAGATCAGAAGTTCAAATGTAAAATTGTTTAAAAGGGAGGGCTTAAGCACTGGAAATCAGATACACTGAAATATATATATATATATTTTTCTTTTTACTATTAACATATATTTTTTGTGGTATGCACGTGGATCTGTTATGATGGCTTATGTGGAAATTTGCTTTAAAGGAGAAAATATTTGATGAAAACTCAGTGTCTGTTCAGTTCTTCGGTTGCTTGACATGGATGGCGGAAAGTTTATGAGCATGTAAGTTGCAAAGTTGATGAACTTGTGTGCACTGGAGCTTCTGTAGGCTTTCCCCAGAAAAAGGTACAAGCATATTTATATGAACTTAAAATATAAATGCAGTAATGACTTTTGAGGTCTTCTATTCCTTTGGATGATTGAACTACGTTTCAGGCAGTGATGTAAGAGGTAAATATTTATGAAGATTTTTTGTTTTTGTGCTAAATGCCATTGTGCTTTATTAGTTGTAAAAGAACTGCAGAGAATTCCATGAGTAAGCCGTGAATAAGAACTATCAAATTCTAATTATGAGCTATAGAAAGATAAAGCCATTATAACTATTGCTGCTTACAGGTATTATTTGCTTTTACTACTAATCTAGTGGCTTAAATAGTTGACACCACTTCCAACTGTTCTCATGTAACATATGATAATTTGCCTTTGTGACTGTTGATTCTTTCTGAAAAGGAGCTTATACAGTTAAGCCTAACCCCCTGGTGTAATGTGGGATATCTTAGTCACGAAGAAAAATTATGGAGGCTACCTGAGGTGAAACAAGGAGAAAATTCAGATTTTAGGCTCTTTGTGTGAGCTTTTTTTGTGTTCGTGGTGGAAAAATATGAGTTCTAGCGCATATAGCGAGGATACGATTATTTTACTTGTTCTCCTTATCCTCCCCCTCCCCCTAGTCTACTGCTCCATTTACTCTTTTGTAGGACATAAGCATGCATTCTTTTATGTAAGTGTATTTGTCTGAAGTGTCTTAGATATCAGCACATGCTAATTATATTTGTCTAAAGAATGAAAACTCATGAAGAGAAGTTAAAGTGCCTGTTGGATAACATTCCTGTTTTTTGTTTTTAATGTTTTGAGATGAATGAGAAGAAGATAAAAGGGATGAAAGAGGTAAGTGACAGAGTTTGGAGAGCAGATGGAATTACAACTAAACTTAAAAATCATTTACAGTTTGTTTTTGTTTTAATTGTAAAAACCATAATGTATTTTATTCATTGCTCCTGCACCTCTCTCATCTTTTTTTCTTTTTTGTATTTGATTTTAGTTGTATAGGTCATTTTTAAAAATCAGTGAATTGGTTATTGAGCTATCAAACAGTTGGATTAGGCGCTAAGTTTAGTTGATTCAGTATATAGTTGTACAATTGGTATCAGAGCCAGGTTTCACTTCGCAATCCAATTCCACGAAGGGACGACTATATACTTGTTATTGACCGTGCAAAAGTATCTTAGACCGTGCAAGGATATCTTGAGGGAAATGCTCTGCTTTGTCTCTCACATGTGACCTTGTTTTCCTTACAAGTCTAATACACTTATTTTACGTTTGGGCTTTGAGTCCCTAGAGTTGGTGGGTTTGAGAGGCCACAAAAGGGTTCCAAAAGTATTATAATTGAAAGCTGTATTGCTTTATGTGTCTGTACCATTGGTTGCTGCTGCTGATATACCTTGAAGTTTTCATGTGCAGGATGGGATTTTTGAAGTTTTCGTGAGGTATGCTTAATCGGCTAATACTAGTTTTGAATGGCATTTGACTTAGTCTTCTACTAGGCATTGTTGGAAAATCCAGTTAGTTCTTGCATTTGTTAACTTTTTTTACTTCTCATGTGTTTCCTCTGCCAATCTTTTGTCTAGAGATAGTTTTAATATCTCAGGATTTTTCCTTTAACTGGCTATGGAATCTTAGGGTATGGCTTTCTTGGGTTGTAGTAATCTGCTATCCTAGCCCGGTCGTGATGTTTCACTACTAGTGGTAGCTCTATAGGAAATCCAGGCCCAGTCAGAGCAGAGTGTCTGGTTTGCATGCTCAAAGAGATAGGGCTGGAGAACAAGGCAGGGGTTTGGCGTAAGCACATAGACAAGGTATGGCTCCATTGGATTGGTTCTGCAACAGTGAAACTACCCTTGTTGGGGCACTTTGCAGATTGCTGAGCTCTGCTGTATCCATTCTTTGGATGAAGGCAACAATTGCTCCTGTGGTTTGGCTAATCTTCGTCCTGGTAACAGTTTTGTATCCTCTGTCTTAGCTGCTACCTGTGGTTTTAGTGCCATTTGTTTCCCCTTGACAATCCATTCTTCATGAAACGTGTGTAGACGCACTGGCATGTAGATGGGTGTTGCGTAGTTTTGGAGCATCAATAAATGTGCAGTCACATTCTTTCTAGTGGATTTGCAAGGTGCAACTGACCTAAATCTTCATCATGAACCGTAAGTATTTATTTTGATATTTGTGATTATACACTTCTATGTATGGTTTGTGTCAATTGATATACCGGGTGTGTTCTGTGATCTATTATCCGAAGGGAAAGCTATCTCAAATCAGCGTAGACAATGAGAGGATCCTTGTAATTCTTTAAGTCGTCGCCATAATGACTTGGTCATTGTAAGGAGTGCAGCTACGCTGAAACACGTCCCTTTCCGAAAGTTCAAAGCTTCACCGACATTTTGGAGTCTTTTACTAGTCCCATCTCAATCACTGGGTCCATATGGATAAAAAGGGTTTCCTATCTGGTGGTAGAATCCCAGTGTAGACCCTAATCCGAACACCTTTGAATGTGCAGTCTATTAAGTTTTATGGCCAGAGCAATAATGTATATGGAGGTTGTGTCATGTAAGGGTGTGGAGGATTTCGTTTTTCGAAAATGAGATTCTGTTTTCCGGAGGATTTTGCAATCCGAACACCTTTGAATATGCAGCCTATTCCAAATCATGTAAATTTTTCTAAAGCTGCAAGTGTTAGGGCCAGAGCAATAATGTAAATGGAGGCTGTGTTTATGTAAGGGTGTATGTGAGGATTTCTTTGTTTGAAAGATGAGGATTTTGTTTTCCGGAAGATATAAATATATCAAGAACAAACATGCAGGACCTTGCATTCTACAGAGGACTAAATGCAGATACAAGAGAGCCTACAGCCAAAGCTGTGACCATCCCCGGGATCATAAGTCGGAGAGATTAGTTGTAGACGTAAAGGCTTCAAAGATCAGAGTCTGCTGCTCATCCCCTGTTTCATCCTCATATCGTCTCTCTCGACTCTCGAGGCTGTTACATATAAAATCATCTCGAAAAGTTTACTTCATGTGTCATTTATGCAATCAAGTAAATAGTTTTATGAACGAATGGATCGGATCGAATTGAAAAATGGAAATATTTATACACGTTATACACCTATGTTCACCAATTTTCGGAAAATAGTTAGGTATGAGTAATGTTAAGGTCACATTTATTTATAGAGCAACACAGCTGACATCATCAGCTCTCTTTTGTTGGACTGCATCCAAACCAAAAGCAAGACAGTGCATTAAAGTTTTATTGATCAATATTATTGATGCTCTATTGGACTATATGCTGACTTTAAGCAAGAATGCCTTTTCTATTTTGGCTCTGTATTTCATTGTGCACTTTGTGGTTAAACTGACCGGTGAGCAGTTTTGTGCACTAATATCAAATCATGGCCCCCTCCACCCCTAAAGGGTTGGAAAATTGTCTCTCAACCCTTTCCCTTAGCACCACAATTTTTGGCCCACCACTTCTGCAGAAATGCTCCTAGCGCCTTGGTGCATGGCCTTAATGGAGGTAGTGGCCCAGAAGAAAAAAAAACCAAAAAGGAAAAAAGAAATCATCACATCCACTTCTCTCATATAATTTTTTTTTCCCCGGTAAGAAATGATCATATGTTGAAGTTTCATCTCGATAGCATAAAAGAAAGACCTCCGTCAGCACGATTGCAAAGAATCATTGCTTATTTGTGAGTGTTTCCGTGAGAATTTTGAAGAAGCTGAGAATAATTACTTGTGATAAAAAAGACTTGAAAGTGCTTTTGAAAGCACACATAACACAAGCTTCTTCATAAAGTTATTTTAACTTCTTGCCAAAAGTTCTTTTGGTTATATGTGAGCATTTTCAGTGGGAACACATAAAGTCGGATGTAAAGCCGTTTTTACATCCTTTTATATTTTTGGAAGATGTAAATGTGGATTTTGCTCCAATAAGAGGAGATGAAATCCGAATATGTAACAGTTTGGTTTCTATGTTTTCAAGTTTGGCAAAACTAACTTTTGAAGTTAATGAATATTTACACCATTGGTCTTTCTATATATGTTGAACTATCACCATTCGTTTGGATGAGGACAAATAACTCAGATTTAACTATAAAAGTCGGGAATTTAAGAGGAGAAATTGACAATTCTCTTGTTTGGCAACTTAAGCGCGGAATTTATTAAATGACGCGCGGAAAAAATCGTGAAAATTGGGGCATTAAATTCCCGAGTTTAATTTATACCAAAATAGGCTTCATTTCACAATTTCTATAGTGTCATTTACAAAATTCGACATACATAAATCCAAACACTAAAGTCTTCAATTGCATAAATTGAAATGATAGAAATCTAAATTTTGTCATTTTAGAATTCTATGTAATTTACAGTTTCTTCATCCAAACAGAGGGTCAATGTTATTATTTGTTGTCCACGTGAAATCTTGTTAAACTAATTATCATGAGCATGAGGGGAGAGGATCTGTTGTCCCAATTTTGGTGTCTCCTCTATGTACCCTTCATAGTTTTTTGATAGATGTCCTATAACCTAACTCCAACTTAACATTGTTAACTTTATATCAATTTTAAAACTTAAAAATTAAAAAATTAAAACAAACAATCAACAACACCGTGAAGTCTCCACACACAAAGGGGATTCAAACCCTTGCCATTTCACTCCTTTAACACCTTAACTACCATGTTACTTATGTTTTTGTGATAATATGTTAAAATATGTATATTTATATTGTTTTGTTTTGAACAATTACATGCAAAACTATTTTGGAGGTTTATCATTTGATGACTACTCTTCACAATACACTTACTCTACACATAGAGATGATAAAGATAGTGAAAAGTTTGAACCTCATAAGAACTCTGTGTGGTACTAAGTCACTCATGTATCTTACCATACAATATATAAAGTGTAAAATATTGTAGTAAATCATTATATATAAATGATTATGGTGTGTTTAATCTTCTTTCATTAATTACTACATATTTTATGCACTCACAGTATTTGTCAGCTCGCTATATAATCAAGTTAAATCAGTTAACCCATCATACAATACATTTCCTTCCAATTTTTTGTGATAAACAAATAAATAATTGACTGAATAAACATCCTCCAAAGTTTCAATAAAAAATTTCAAGTTTTTCTTACAATTTCCGTGGTTTTTATTCAATTTTTACCTAATATTTTCATTGAAATTTTCATATTTTTGGACTACCTATATTTTCAATATCATCGATATTTTAGACTTTGGGTATGATATCGGTGAAGGGTGGTTGATTTTTATTGGTTGTAGAGCTTTAAACCACTACTAGATCGTGAACCTAGGGCGGCTTACGTTGGGTGGCTAGCCTAGGCTGGGGTAAGAAAGGGAGGTTGCTGCCAGTGGGATGGGGTGATTGGGGTGGGTGGTTGTTGGTGTTGGCTGGCGGAGAGACTTGGTAATGGTGGCTGCTATGATTTAGTGTTTTTGTGTTTATCAATTTTTAGCTTTTCAGTTTTTTATTTCATTAAGTTAACACTATTATATTAAGGTTAAGCAGTAGGATACTTATCAAACATTAAAAGAGAGCATATAAAAGGGACACTAAATTGGGAACAGCGAATCCACTCCCAAGTTGGAGTCCATATAAAGAAAAAATAAAATGAGTGCCATGTCAAAAAAGAAAAGGTTAAATTTTAAAGTTAGATTGGCGGATGAGCAAATGGTTTAATGGTTTATAATTTTAAAATTGTAAGTATTATTTTTTAAAGAAAAAAACAGAGACCAAATTGTCACACACCCTAATTTGAAAGTGTGAAAAGTATAATTTGAACTCTACGCACACGTCTATTATATATCATATCATTTGACTTTTTAAAAACTATAATGTAGATTTCTAGTATTATTTTATACGCATGCAAATCTTATTTAAAACATGAGAAACATACAAGAATTTTCATGAATGATTTTATGACGAATCACATGTCTCGAGTTTGTGGAGCATCAAAATCAATTCTAAATATGGTTTGATCGGTCAGACTCATATTGAATGATACTGATAGAAATCAGAATACATTTTAGCTCCAATTTAATTTAGAGATATTTAGTGATATACCCATTTTTAGCACTAATATTATAGATAAACCCTCCATCATTGAATTTCTATAAACAAACCCAAAAAAAACCCCAAAAATGATAGCTGGCCTTATTGAATTTAATATTGATTATTAAATTACTTTAATGCCCTGTTGAGTGTTTTGGGTATTTTTATGAGATTTTGGGGTTGGGCTTGTTTTAAGAAATTTATGGTAGTTTTGTAATTTATAAGAAGTTAAAGCCTTTTTGTTATGTTGTAAATGAGTTTTGGGTGTGTTTATAAAGTTCATTTCATATGGGGTATTTTTATAATTTGGGCTCTCATATTGGGTATATTAGTGAATCTCCCTTTAATTTTATATCACATGTGTCCTCTTAGGAATTCTCTCCCATTATTTGTGCCGAAAAAATTTCATGCCCAATGAAAAATGGTCTTGATTTACAGACTAGTGATCTTAGGTTCGAACCCTTATGACACTGTAGTAGTGTGTGTGAGAAATTTCTTCCCCTTATAGTTTAGACTATCACTTGAACTGAAAAACCAAAAAAACTTAGTTTAAACATAAAATACAAACTTGGTTGAGTGATAGAGCTCCTCAGTTTAAATTTTTTAATCATCATGTAGAAATTTCATTCACAATGCAGGAGGCTCTACATCAACAACATTCAAAAGATATTCATCCAACCACAGCCACCAAAAAAAAATAAAAATCAGATTACCCTTGAATTCGTGATCACATATTATTAGCTCCATGTAACATGTGCAAGGGAGGAGTCATCCCTAGACTGGAGTGGGCTCCAGCCCAATGCAAGTTTTTGGAAATACAGTAATTTGGAGCTAATTTTTAGGAAATTCATCCTACTAAGTGGAAATTAGCCCACCTCACCTTTGCGAGAATCGGTTAATCGTACTCGAACATCATGTGAGAAGAACTTACATGTAACGGGGATGCCACTGTGAAGGTATCTCAAGTCTATCATGTGTTTCCATGTCAGAAAGTTAAAACACATATGACAATGGGTGATTTGCTCAGATTAACACCGCAGTAGTATCCTGGTATAGGTAAGTCTTTCTCCTCCTTAGCCACT